CCGGGCAGCCACGTCAGCCGGCGACCCGGCCCGGGATGACGACCGAGTGGCCTGTCCCTTTTTTTTTTTTTTTTTAAAGGGCCTGTGCCTAGCTGGGCAGTAAGAAGAGCCGCGAGGTAAAGGGGAACCCAGTTGGAGCCGCGGAGCCTGCGCGTGCTGCGCGGGGTTGGGAGCGGAACCCCGGGCTGCGCCGACCCGACCGGGAGCGCCCCCCTCTCTCCCCGGATTCCACTCCCGCTGCCCCTGGAGTGCCGCCCGGTCCCCGGGTAGCTGGTGACCACAGCAGGTCGGTGTCTCCTTCACGCGAGGCGCTGAGACCCGCGCTTATTTTAACCCTCCCGCCTCGGATCCAGCTAGTGTGGGTTATGCGTTTTATATCGCAACCCAGGACACAGCGTATTCTTGACTGTAACGATGCCCTCGGTATATGGCGTGTCATTTTAAAACAAACAACACACACAAACGCCCGCTACAGACTTCCTCTGTCCACGAAAAGGCCTCCAGTTTTTGACAGAGGAACAAAGTCCAGAAAGTGGAGCTCTTGTTCTTGCCCCAGGCCAAACACCAGCCAGAGCTTCCGCCTAGTTCCCTGAAGCAACCCCTCCCTCCCGGTGTCCCAGTTCTGACCAGCAGGAGCAGGACAGGGGAAAAAATCAAGACTCTAGGACTCAGGAAATTTACAAACTAAAAGTGTTTTAAGTATTGAGTCCATAGCCCCAAGGAGTTGTCTGTGTTGCTACAGATCTGAAAGAAGCAAACCATTAACAGTTTAGCACTCCTGCTGTTAGCAATTCTGAAGAAGTTTCAAAAACTTTAAGCAAATAATGTTTATTTTTGTATTGATGATACACTTAATATATACGTGGATCCAGGATACAAAATTCATTTACAAGAGTTCACACCTGATGGATGTAGTCACATTCCTAGAGAACATTTATCAATGCAAACATGTCTGCAATACACTGACAACAAAAATCAAATATTCTGTAATCTTGTTATTCAATGAACAGCAAAACAACATTTAACTGCCCATCCTCTAGTATTTCAACGCCCTCTAGGTGGAAGGTACCATAGAACAGAAGAAAACATTGGAAAGACAGGGCCTACTGAATCTGCTCTGCAGTCACAGTGTTTACTCTGAAATTTACTTAGTGAAGTAGTTAGTAAAATGCTTGCTATCCTTTATGACAAATCAGATATCATACAAGAGTCAAAAGTGATAAAATCAGGAAACGAAAATGTTCCAAAATCTATTAAGTATTAACCATACAAAGCTGGAAACTGCCAAAAAGAAACAAAAGTGAAGCTATCCTTAAGAGTATGTATGGCTTAAGCAATTTAGAAACACAACAGACAAGACTTTTACAATAGCACACGTGTTCAAGTCAAATGATATTGACAATATTTTTTCCTAGTCATTGGTAATAAATAGCCCCTTCAAAATTTATTTTATGATAACATGTAAAACTAATGAATTCAAATGGTTTGCTGTCTCACAGAGCTGAGTTAATGGATTTTGTTCTAAAGTATTAACCCACAATGCCCAAAATTCAGTACAAATGAGTAACAAGACTACATCTCAAGGATTACAGTGATAGGTGAGTAGCTAGATAGGCAACCAAATAGCTTCATCATTTGCACGACAGATTAGCAGCACTTGGATTGGAATTGTTACATGAAAATTGTGTTGTGCTTCAAACTTTTGAGGAGAGCTAATAAATATAACTCTATAATCCCTATAGTATTACAATTCTATAACATTTCAGTTACAGACAAGCACAATTTTTAAAAAGTATTTCACACCACTAGAAAGTCAAGTAATTATATTCTCCAAATGTAATTTCTGCTATGATTGAAACAAGTGCATTTCTGCCTAATATCCCTAATACAGACAATAGGTTCACCATTATATTTAGGGAAAAAAGATAAAACATAACTTATTTTAACTCTATTTGATTATCTTAACCTTTAGCGATGATGTGAATAAAGAAAAACAATAGCCAGCCTTACCATGGAAATTGCTTAGAGAAAATAATGTGGCCTGAAATTACAATAACCTTTACAGCAAAGTAAGACATCACTTAACTGCTTCACTTGATTCAATGATTAATGAAACCACTGTTTGTATCGGTGCTACACAATGAAGATAACTTACTTAGGTAAAATTCATCTACTGTGAAAATGGTGGGACATTGTATCTGTCTTTCCTCTTAATCTAAGACCTTTCTGCTTCCACTGGAAGAAGTCTCCAAAATAAGAGACCTTCTACTTGTTGAATGGCAAGTTTTATTAAAAATAAACAAAACCTAGGGAACTAGCCTTACTGCCTATATACCAAAAGGAATGTATCCGGACAACTGTAAAAAGTCACAACATAAAGTCCTTAATATTTCACTGAACCATTAAAAGTTCTTTCTAATAAGATAAAGAAACAAGAGTTTTTTTTTGTTTTTTTTTTAAAAAGGCTCACCTCATTCTTTAGGAAAAAAATAGAACTCTATTGCCCTAAACATTTTAAGCATTTTTTTCCTGCAGATTTTTAATACAATCACAATAGTTAGCTATAATTTAGGGGAAAAAATCAGTTACATGCAAAGAAGGGTAGAAATAGGATTTTTAAAAATACAGTGGTTATTTGTGATTTGGAAATATTTACTTGGGGATCATCATATATGATCATTTCACATTATACAGTGACTGACTGGAATTGATATTTGCGGACACTTAAGGATCAAATGATAATGTTTTCAAATCTTAATTTTCAATCATGGATAAGTAGACATGCATAATTGCTTCAAAAGAGAAAAGAATATTCATGACATAACATAAAAATTTTAATATTTACTGCAGACCTGTAGGAGGGTGAGCTATAATTCCCTATCTTTTTGTGAAAGTGATGTTATATCACTTGGCCTATTTCATTCCATAAGCTTGTCAGAAAAGTAAAAACCTGAACCCTGAAGGTACCACCTACACCTAAAAAGATGATTGTCTTAGGATATAGCCTGGAATTGTCTGCCAAAATAGGGAAAATAGTCCCAATTTATAATCTGTTCTATGACTAAATTCAAGTTTGGTTAAGTTAATCTGGAGTGCAGAACTACTATGGGTATCAAATTATTAAGAACCTCTTATCAACTATGCAAGTATTTTTAAAAATCACAGTTTGAGTAACTTGACAAGTGACTTGTAAAATAACCTTTAAAAACAAAAGAAATTAACAAAAATATCTTAAAATTGAGAAATGGTGCTTTAGACCATAGCTAAATAACAATGTTATGCAGAAATGGAATTCTCAAAAGTCAGTATTACATTAAACGAATACATGAAAAAACACTGATTTCAGCCGAAGTAAACATGTCAAAGTTACTGAATTCCAAAGGAAATATTTCTGTGGCACCAACAAATAGTTAATATATTAATTTTACCCAATTAAGGGTATGTCCCCCTTAACATCCTGACAGCCTTTTTGTCAATAAGTGACTGATTCCATTCACACATCAATTACTTTTCGTTAAACAAGGCATGTTTAAACCTGTATTCAAAAACTCAGTGAAGCTGGAAGATAGTCTAATCCATTTTGAAATTCTAGTTTGAGCAAGAATTGTCATTTCTTCTTCTTTTTTTTGGTAGAATCACAGTATCCAGGAAAAACTGGGATGTGTAGCAAGAAGGGGTATAAAGTATCAATTGTGTAAGAGTACAGGAGAATCAAGAGAAAAGGTTTGCATTTCTTATTCAACTGCAAAGTAGCTTTGCACTGTTAGAGATGATATTCACAGTTAATCTCAACTGCTGTACATTTTATTGCTGCTTCTCTGCTCAAATGAATATCTCCATTGAGCCTGAGTCAGTTTCATGAATTTAAAATAACATCTGCTCTGTTACTCTCTAATTGCAATAAATGATTTGGTTATTAAAACAATAGAATATAAGAGACTGGATATTTTCACAGATTTCCCCCCCTAGAAATAGCATGTTACCAAATTCTAATATGTAGAATCAGGTTTGATCTTTGATGAAAAAGGGGTAAAAGTTTGCTTTGCAGTTATATTTTATCATTCAAAAATAACCTCTACTTAATTTCTTCTGTGCATGTATTCAAATGTGTATTAAACATCTCTTGCACACCCCCAAACACATGGACAAGCCAAGAGGAGGGAGTAACCAACGAGGCTCTGTGACTCCTGGGTCACTAATTGGCACTGCACACGTCCCTTCTCCCCCTCGCCTGCTGTTCTTGCTTCATAGAGGTTTGGCAAGAAGGCCCAGATTTTGTAGTATGTCACGCACCTAATATTAAGAAGCTTACATCATGTGTGAATATATCAATTTGCAGAACACAAGTGGTCTCATAGAGACAAAGAAATACAACTGGAGGCATTTTATTCACTGGAAACATTTTCTCAGATGAGCAGACTCATCTTTGAT